GCGATCGTATTCCTCGATCATATTCTCCAGATCTTCATCGGTAGTGATGGTGACGAGTGAATCGAGATCTTCGCTAGGTAGCTGGTACTTGAGTGTGAAGGACCGTCCGTTGAGGAGCATACTGGAGAGGCGAGATCGGAGCGAGGATAGTGACGCACGTCGATCAACAACCACCAGACGCGTCTCGCCGCCGGAATACGTCAGCGACTTGTCGTGTGGACGAGGCATGATGTGGCCGCCAAAACTGCACATAAGGCGAAGCTTAGCGCCGGGAACGGCCGGTAATTGCTCCGTATTCCCTCCGGTATCAATAGAGACGGCGCGTGGAGATCCATCGATCGGTTGTGGTACGGTTCCGGTCTTGACCGCCGCCGGAATCGCGGCAGAGACGGAGGCTGAATAAGTAGGATTTGGGGTTGGTTGGGAAAGTGGGGTTTCCATGTTTGACAACGACAGATTGGTTAGTTAATGAATTTATATATTGATAAAATTTTGAGTACTAATCCTTATATAACCTTTTATTTTATTATTAAATCAAATTTAACCATAAATATAGATATTATTAATAGATATTTAAAGAAATCATTTGACCAAAAAATATCATATAATTAAAATTAAACGAAAAAAAAAACGAAACGTTAGATTCTCTGCAAAATGTGCTGGACAGTTTCACATATGATTCATTGCCAGGTATGTTTATGTATAACTTTGTACCAGCTTCATATTTTATTAACATAATAATCACAATAAACAGTACTTCTAAAGCTGTTTACTCGAATCTAAATTAAAGTTTTCTGAGATTTTAAGATTGATTCTTTTTTTTTAATTATAGAAATCTGAGTTTTTTGTCGGCAATTAGATTAAATAAATAAAGTTTTCCACATCTATCTGAAAAACACAATTTGCTGATACTGTGTGCCAACATATCCAAGGAAAATAATATAGGTTTTCAATATGATAAGAAATATTACGATAGAAAGTATTAGTATATAAAGAAAAATTATTAGTACTTTCTGCTTCTTGATAAATTTATCATAAACAAATGAATGGTATCAGATAGATTTGAAATATAGAACAAAATGTAATGTTTTTTAAATATAAAAAAAAGCCATTGTATCAAAATAAAATGTTGATGTGTGTGTTTTTAGAAAGATGTGTAGTAATATTTTATTTTCTGTAGAATGTTTAATATAGTAATGATTATTTTGTGTCCTTTAACATTGATAAATCCTTTACGAGTTCCAACATTACAGCTTGAGCTTGCTGCAATATGTTTAAGCTGAAATCTTCTATAAACCCTTAAAATCATTCTAAAATATTTGTTATTTGTTGAAAATAAGATAAAAACACTCATAATCTGATTTTTCGTTTTTTTGATAAGTTGTAGTAATAAGGTGAAAAAAATAAGTATGTTTTCAAGAATTAAGAAAAATAAAGGAAATTCATTTATCCAAAACAAACTCTGCTCAGATGAAGTGGACCCCGAAGAAGTCGGATGAATCTGGACCTTATGGGAAAATTAAACCAAACCCATGTGGATAATTTTCGGTAACCGTGTTCGGTTTACTTCAACCGGACGTTTCACGGTTCGGTTCCCAAAGTTTTTCTTCCCCTCAAGATTTGACGTAACTGTTGAAACTTGAAAATAGAGTTTAACATTGCTAGTTGCCACAATCATGAACATCATGACTCGTCAATCTTCATTAC